ACTCAGCTTTTGTTGAACCCTCTTCTCCGTTCACAGCCAAAAAAAAAAGCTGCGAACTACAAAGAGGGTTCTAACGACTGAGTTCCTCCCTGCTCCTTTCTTGCCTGAAAGGAGAGATATCTATAGATCTTTTAGATATACAAACCAGAACTCTGAGGGCAGCTCCGTTGAGCCACCGACGACAGCAGGCCCCTCCCCCGGAAGCCTCTGCTGGGCCCTTTTGACCAGTGCTGCAATGTGAGCACCCCAGGTCAGGTCCTCTTTTATGATAATACCCAGAAACTTAAAACTGGCCATTTGCGCCACTCGGTTTCCATTGATAAGCAAGGGCTGAATATCTGATCTATTCCTTCTATAATTATAATTATTTCCTGAGGACATGAATGCACAACATTATATTCCACCAGTCCTTGCTCCATATGTATGGCAACCATCCTCCCTTGTTCTCTTCCTTGTGACATTTTCCAACTTCTGCTGGCACAAGCTGCACTGCGGTGAATCCTTCTGAGGTAAATTTGGGTGGATGGGGGACTCCCCAGCTGATTCCTGATCCCTGATTTCAAGGCCACTTCTGACTAGACAAAGTCATCTTCCCCACATCTCTTGGCAACCATGAGCAAAAGTAAAGCAGGAGGTAAGAATGGAAATCTGGTCTTTTGAAGTGCCAGTTCTCTAGGCCCCCAAAGATCCATTTCCCCCTACAGAGAGGAACAAGGCTGAAATCAAGCCTTCGGTCAGTTCTCCAGTGCCCAGAGGATCAGGAAACTGGCAGCAAGGAGGCATTACCCCAGACACTTATTCCACTTTCTGGTGATTCGTGGTGGAGAAGCAGAAGGATATTTTCTTATATATCACCCACCTTGTGGCTTAGGTTCTCCAGCATCCAAGCTGCAGGTGAGTGGGTGGGTGGGTGGGAGGGAAACTTCAATGGAAGACTACTGGCTGCCAAACTGGATCCACCCCACTTTTTCTTCCTGTGGAGGGAAATTGGCTCTTCCTAAATTTCCCTTTCTTTCCTTCAGGGGGAAAGGCAAAAATGGGGGGGAGACACCATCAACCTGTTGCCAGTTCTTTGATCCCAGAGCAGTCAGATTGCAGCGCAGACAGCAGAAGACCAGTTACTGGCATCCAAAGAGGCTTTTCCTGCTTCCCCGCTTCTTCCTCCCACTTCTCATGCAGACAGAACTCCTAGTCTTTTTCACGGTTCAGCAGATAGTGAGTGGAAATTTGATTAGCACTTCTTTAAGGCAGCAGATGTCTATGGAGATTCTCAGTCATCCCAAGTCATGGTTGTCCCAAAGGTGCTTTTTCAAGAGGCAACTGACTTTCTGGTTTTTCTTTGAAGACATTTTGCTTCTTGGATGAGAAGTGAAACGTCTTCAAAGAAAAACCAGAAAGTCCAGTTGCCTCTTGAAAAAAGCACCTTTGGTTTAAGGTGGCAGAGTTTTTTACCGGGGTGGAATTCAGTCGGTTCGGACCAGTGTGGATGAACAGGTAGCTCCAATGATCAGCTGGGAGTGAACCAGTTCGCTTCGACGATCAGGTTAACCCGCCCCTGCGCTTTACTTACCCATATCCTCTCAGTTGATTCGCGTGGCAGAGCTGATTGCCACGCCTCAGCTGTGTTACTCCCCAGAAGTAATGTGGGAGGTAAGTCTTGCTAAAACTGCGCACGTGCGTGCAGCACAAAACACACAATCACTGAACTGGTTGTTAAACCAACAGGATCCCACCACTGGCTCCCACCCTGCATAGCAGCAGTTAGGTTTGCCACATGGAAGAGCCATACAAATGGAAAGATCCCACTTCATCTATGGAAGCTTAGTGGCCAAGCCACTATCTCTCAGCTCAGCCTCTTCCCCACTCCCCACTTCTTCTGGGAAAAAGAGAAGATAGACATTGTATGCGTGCCTTGTCTTCCTGAAGAAAAGGCAAGTGCAGGTAGTCCTCAATTTACAACAGTTCATTTAGTGACCATTCAAAGTTACTGAAAAAACGGACTTAGGACCATTGTTCACAATTTAAAACCATGGCAGTATCCCTATGGTCACGTGATCAAAATGCAGACGCTTGGCAACTGACTCATATTTATGACGGTTGCCACGCCCTGGATTCATGTGTTCCCCTTTGGCGACCTTCTGGCAAACAAAGTCAGTAGGGAAGCCAGATTCACCTAACAATTGTGTTACTAACTTAACCATTCCAATGATTCGCTTAACCACGGTGGCAAGACAGGTCATAAAACTGGGCAAAACTCATTTAACAAATGTCTCACTCAGCAACATGAATTTTGGGCTCCATTGCTGTCGTAAGTTGAGGACTGTGTGCAAATCTAACAAATGAAGCTCTCTTTCTC